TGTTCAGACGTGGGGAGTCGTATATAGAGTGCTGATTAGACAATGCTTATCCCATCGATGAAAACAAATGGTAGTCGGAAGGAGTCAAGTCTGGTGAATACGGGGTAGCAGCTCCCAGCCAAGTGTTTTGATTGTATCCTGAACAGGTTTTGCTTTGTGTGCATTATTATGGAGCAAAATTACCTTGCCGTGTCTTCTGGTCCATTCTGGTCGTTTCTCGATCAATGTATGGTTCAAATTGATCATTTGTTGTCGCTAGCGATTAGTATTAACGGTTTCACCAGGTTTTAGGAGCTCCTGGTACACCACACCTTTCTGGTCCCACCAAACACACAGCGTTGTCTTCTTGCCGAATCGATCTGGTTTTGCAGTCGATGTTGATGGTTGTCCCGGATTAACCCATGATTTTTTCCGTTTAGGATTCTTAAAATAAATCCAATTTTCATCGCCAGTGACAATCCGATGCAAAATCGATTTTCTTTCGTGTCTGAAGCAAAATTGCAAAAGTGGGTTTTCCATCTGTCTTTCATTCAATTCATGTGGCACCCATTTTCCACACTTTTGGATCTTCCCCATAGCTTTAAACGGTCAGAAATTGTTTGTTGTGCAACATTTGAAATTTCTGCCATTTGATTTTGATTCAAAGTGTCATCTCCATTCAATATCGTTTGCAATTCGGCGTCTTCAAACGTTTTTGGTGGTCTTCCACGTTCTTAATTTCTCACATCAAAATCATTATTTCTGAACCGTTGTAACCATTTATTGCATGTTGCTTCTGATAGAGCATGATCACCATACGCCTCGACAAGCATTCGACGCGAATCTGCAGCACTTTTCTTCAAATGAAAACAAAAAATTAATGATTTCCGCAAATCATCACTTTCTGGTACTAAATTCGACATATTTGACACGATGAAAAAATATGACGTTTAATGACTTGATGTAAACTTTGTTTTAAGAAAGTTTTCAATAACTTTTTTTTGTTTAGTTCTCGTGTGAGTTATTCAAAAAAATGGGATAACGGTACGAAAGCCCAATTATTATGCTTGTTAAAGAAAAAAAAATTATAGTGGATAAACACATTATTTTTGACGTGTTATAAAATTTAAGTCGAAAATCTGATTTTTCTGCTTTTTTTTTACAAAAAATTAAATAACTTCTGTATAAAATCGGGCAACATACTTTGCGTTTAAATTATAGCTATTGAGATCCTCTACCTTCACAAAACCGTTGATGCGTCCGTTAAGAATCACCCTGTATAACAGTCTGAATAAGGTCTTGCGGAAAAAGATATCGTTGCTGGAGACTAGATCACAATAATTATATAATACTTACGATATCAAGGAAGAAGAGAACTACGGAGAAACCAATCATCGTATAAACCAATCTTGGAATAACTATTTCTGGGGTTTCAATTCTCTCTTTAATGATATATTCTGGATCTTGTTTCTTCCTTAATTCTAAAACTACAGCGAATACTAATACAGCAAATAAAATCTGTTGAAAAGAAAAACTTTGTTATTCTAGAATATCTATCTATATGCAAGAGATTCTCAACGGGCGGATCACAAACTTTGTGGAGGTAGAGGACTCAATT